ATGATTAATACTTAAAGTCACAGACTTTGGTAAAGGCTCCTAGATTTGGGGAAGCTGCCCAGGTTAAAATAAAAATAACAATGATCCACATATAATAATAATATGTTCAAACAGTAGGAATAAATGAGACAACCTAAAAGCTTCTGGAGATATACAGAAAGACTATAATAGAAGAACTGAGAACCAGAATGACAACAAATGCCTCAACAGAAGACAATATAATTCATCTAACTTCTAATAGAAAAATCACTTCAAATCTAGAATACTATGTCCAAAATATCAATCAGATAAGAGAGTAGATGTCAGGGGCAATACATGGGTTGTGTGTGAACTGTGTTGTGCATTGTAGCCTAGTGAGGGGTTAAGTCTGGCACTGGGAACTTCCCATGACACCCCCACAGGGATTGATCACCTGATTCAGGTGAACTCCTCCAAAGCTCTGCCAAAGATTCCACACAGCACCTGAGATGGGTGTGACCTACCAAAATGCCAATCAACCTGCTGACCACAAGATATCATATAGCAAGACTCCACCCTTGAAACCTTATTCCTGCCTTTGACGTAACCCCTTACATAGACCACTGGAGCCCTCTTTCCTTTGTCTAGTTCCAGCACCCATGTGGACTAGATCTATCAGGGGCTCTGCTTTTAGGAAATATATTTCTGACTACTTGTGTTTTGTTCTTCACTAATTATTTGAGACTTTAAGTTTCTATGTGGCTTACATCATCCTTGGCAGGAAGACAAACCCACCCAATGAGACACTGGCCATCACCCCTATTAGGTAGAAATTAGGTCATTTGTCAGACATTGAAAATTATGAAATATTTCCTTCCATTCGAACCTTCCTCAGGCAGCTACCATCAGTGAAAAGGACATACAAGAGATCTAGAAACAGAGGATCCAATATCATAGAGCAACACAGTAAATTCCATGATAAGGGTGTATTCCTAGGAAGACAGTTCTGCAGTAGGCCTAAAGAAGGAACAGTCAAGTGAGCTGGGGTTGTGGCTCAGCAGTAGAGCACTCACCTAGCACAAGAGAGTGCTGGATTCAAACCTCAGCACTCATAAAAATAAGTAAATAAAATAAAGGTATTGTGTCCAACTACAAAAAAAAAAAAAAACAGTCAAGATTAGGAGAGCAGAAGGCAAGACTTCAGTATAGATATCTTCAAGAGATAAAAGGGAATTGCTTATTTGTATAATGTATCTGAGAAGAAAAAGGAATTGCTAAATTAACATTTTGTGGAAAGCTTGTGATAAATAGGTATGAATTAAAATTTTAAAACTAAGCCATTAGGGCTTAGTGGTAGAGCCTTTGCCTGGCATTCCTGAGGCCCTGGATTGAATCCCCAGAACTGCAAAAAACAAACAAACAAAAAACAACTAAGGAATGTAAAGTGGCTACTTACTTCAGGGAGAATGAAAAAATGAAGAAATGCAATTAAAACAAACTTTATAGCACACTATGAATATTAGTATCATCATAAAAAAAACTGAAAGAGGATTTAATGGCAGATTATGTGGTAATTACACGAGAAGAAGGAAAGGAAGTGAACTGGTTGAATAGAGGGGACTAAGAGACCTGAAGGTTCATCTTCCAAGATAGGAAATAAGTAAATTGGGGAGAGGGGAGGTACTAGGGGTTGAACAAGAGGAGCTTAACCACTGAACCACATTCCCAGTTCCCCTTTTTTTTAATATTGTTTTTGGAACAAAGTCTCACTAAATTGCTTGGGGCCTTGGTAAGTTGTTACAGCTGGCTTTGTACTCATGATCCTCCTGCATCAGCCTCTTGAATTTCTGGGATTATAGGACTATGCGACTACACCCAGTTAAATAGAATCTTAATAAATAAGAGAAAGCAGCACAAATATATTAAGAAATATGTAAATAAATGAAATGCTAGAAGAAAGGGTCAAAAGTTCAAGTATCTTTCTCTAGGGAAACATTTGGAGGAGAGAAGAATTAGAATTATTTTTGTTATATATCTTCCTAAAATATGTAGGCATCATTTTCATGAAAATACAAAATGATCTTGCAGTACAAATGTACAGTCCAACCTTGTGCTCTGAGGGGGATACTTTAGGACCTCTCTCTGTACAACTGTTCTCTCTCTCTCTCTCTCTCAATCCAATGTCAAGCCAGATTCCAGCTGTTACAGCTAACCCAACTTTGGTCTCTTCTCCTAATCTCTGAAGAAATGTTATACTCTGCTCCAACTCTAGCTTTCTTCAGGACAGTTGGGAACTGTTCCAACCATGGGCAATTAAGAGGATAATTATCTTAATGCTGTTTGTTGTCTATTATCCAAAAATGTCTGTCTCAGATATTGTATCTAATTTTATAGCGGGATGGCTAATTCTATACTAATTATTCCTAACAACATGGCCAAAGAGGTATTATAATAAGCTTTAAAAAATATCTTCAGGATAAGTATTCAGAACTGAAATTACCAATCCAGAATAATGTGCTACTTTCATTGCCTTTAGAGTATATTATAGTAAGCTGTTCTAAAAAAAAAAAAAAAGTTTCTCCCACTCCATTCACAATATCCTCAAAAAAAATGAAATACTTGGGAATCAACCTAACAAAAAGGTGAAAGACTTATTCAATGAAAACTTCAGAACCCTAAAGAGAGAAATAGAAGATCTTAGAAGATGGAAAAATATACCCTGTTCATGGATAGGCAGAACTAACATCATCAAAATGGCGATATTACCAAAAGTTCTCTATAGGTT